AAATCAAAATATCGATAGAAATAATAGTGATCTTAATTCAGATGGATCTTATAAACAAGCATTTTTTACTATACACAACAAAACTGTTGAAGTTATATTTGAAAATAATGTATTAAGTTGGTCTGATGTAGTAGGAGAAAGTATGTTTTACAATCATATTTATGTATACTTATTTATTTCTATAGTTTCTCAACATGATGCTAGTCGACGTATATCTAGAAATATAACTGACGGAAATTCGGTTCGTTTAAATGATGTTTATGCAATTTCACCAATTTATAATAATTGGAATTGGTCAATGAATTTGAATGAAAATATAGCTGGTACAACTATATCTACATCGAATAGTATTGGTTTACCAGCAGTTCCTCAATCATCAAATTTATCTGAGACTTCAGTTTTACGTGGTTTTCAATTACATTCATATCAAACTTTGCCGGATAATATTTTACAAGAAATTCTTATCGTATTTCAAAGTGATGATGCCAGTTTAATTGAACGATGGTTTCAATTTTTAGCAAGAAACATTGCTGAATGTATGTAAATTTTTTCCATTAACAATAATTTCTCATTTTTGTTTTTTTGCGATATCTTAGTAACATCACCACGACATATATTTGTTCTTTGTAATCCATATTCTGGTCCAAGACAAACTCGACATGTATATAATACTAAAATAAAACCAATGTTAGAAAAAGCACAATATAAAATAACATATATGGGTAAATTTCAAATGAATTTCTAATTAATTTTACATAATTTTTTGTTCTTAGAAATAGGTGATCAATGTAGCGCTGATGATGCATTCGAAAGTTTTGAAGGTGATTTCGATTCTATAGATAGGTATATTAGAAAGTTCGATTATTCGTATTTATTTTTAATGAATTTGATTTTTATTTCTATTAGTTTAGTTGTTATGGGTGGTGATGGTTCAGTAATCAATGTTATCAATGCATTAATACGTTATCTAGCAAAACAAAATCGAACGAGGTTTTAATAATAGAATTATCTAAATATTATAAACAAAATTTTACTTTTTTAAATATAGAATAGACTTTGAAAGTGATTTACCATCGATATCTATTCCAATATGTATCGTCCCTAATGGTAAGGAACTTAATCGAAATAAATATTTTATCTAAAAATAAATTTTATTTAGGTACAACAAATATTATTTGTCATACAATTCATGGTAATGTAGATCATTGTACACCCATCATGCATTTAATTTTCAGTATGATTAACAAATCATTCGATGTAATTCATTGTTTTGTTAATTTGAAATTTTAGATCATAAAATGAAAATTGATATGTCAGCAGTATTTGATATTGATTATAAATTTGTTACAGCAAATTTTAGTGCTGGTGCTGGTTATCCAGCTAATGTTTTAAAATATTTTCCACGTTATAATTTACATAGTCCAAAAGGTGTTATTAAAAAATCATTTGCAAAAGCAGCTTCAAAAAAAAATCTACAGTAAGACATTTGAAAAACATGTAAAGTCATACTAAAAACTGATTAGTTAAGTTCAAGGATGGATACATGATTCTTTGTTAGGCATGAGATGATCATTTGGAATCGAACAAAAGAAGAGTTCTTAATTAATAGTACAACTTCATGATATTTTTTAGATTAACAAATATTTTAGATTCGTATGAATAGAAAACTAGACAGATGCGTTGACTTAACTAAGATATTCTAGATTAATCTTTATTCCGGTGACATTGATCATATTAGGAATTCTATCCTAGAGCATTTCCTTATTTTTAATTAAAAAGAAAATGTCTATAGTTATTTATATCTAATTGAAATTTAATTTAGACCTATTGAAATGGAAATTCGGTATATTCCAGCAATTCAAAATAATCCGTTAGTTACTCGTTGTTATCGAGGGTAAATAAAAATTCATAATATATCTCATGATGTTTTTTTTTGATATATAGTTGTCCATCATGTACTCCAGATGGAATAGAGAAATGTGATAATCAAGTTCTAGCTTTTGATGATAGTCATATACAAGAAATAAATAAACGAAGAAAATCTGCATCCTCAAATAATAATAATAATCGTGTATCATCAGGATCTCGAAGAAGTTTTAGTAAACAAAATGAAGTTGAAAAAAATTGGAAAACTCTTTATCATAATTATTTACAAGTTGCTGTATTAACTAATGCAAATTTATGGTCATTTGCACCACAAGGCTTATCAAAATTTGGTCATATAGGTGATGGTTTACTTGATTTAGTTTTAATTGAAACAGTTAATCGTAAAGAATTTCTACGTTATATTAAACGTAATGGAAATTCAAAAAATCAAGTATTTCAAATTAGAAATTTAATGAAAATATATAAACAGATATGTTTGTTATTTTTAGCATGAACTTCCATTTACAAATATAATTAAAGTAAAAGAAATTGAAATTGAACTTAAATTACCAATTGATAATTATAATAATGAGATAACCAATCCTGATAATCGATATGATTCCACACCGTCAGATAATTCATCAAATGAAGATATATCTGATAATGAAAATAAAGCATCCGGTTCACAACGATATCAACCTCATCCACCAAGTATGCCTATACCAGAAAATAGTCGACCTCGTCGACGTCATCATGCTCAAATAAATAAATCAACACAAGAATCTGTTCAACATGTTCTTCAAACATCCAAAAGTGTAGATCCATCAATGTTCAATTCAAAAAATCGTCAACTACAACAACAACAATCAGAAAGTGAAATGGATAATTCACAACTTGAGCCTTATGGTTCAACAAAAACACGTCGTCGTAGTGGAATTTTTCAATCATTAAAATTAAAGAAAAACAAAGTACCTTTACCACGCCCCTCGAGTGCTCAAAAAGAAGATCCTAGTGATGATAAACAACAAAATAAAAATCGTAAAACAACTGGTGGAACTCTTCGACCAGCAAGAGTAAGAACGATAAAAAAATCACTCGTACTATTAAGTGCAATCTAAAATAATTCTTTTCCTTCTCAATTACGACTAATATGTGAGATTTCCGGTCTCACATAGAATTATGAAATATCTTGAAGAAAAATCAATGTTAGTCAGGAGTCTAACAAGTATTTTGTATAGACAGATTAAATCATATTAAAATTGAGTTTTTAGATAAACTATACGCATGTTTGTTTTTCTAAATCTCATGTACTTTAGTTCTAATCCTAAGAATCTATATCAAAAGGCAAAAGCTTTGTCAGGATCGTGATTAAAATTTCAACCATAAATAAGTTCTCTGTAAATATTAGCGAGTGATGTTATTCAAGATGAACTAGTTCCTTTAATACTAAATAAGAATCTATTCGGTCCTATATATATTTATTAATGAATGAAAAAATTAGCTATAATTTATTTTCTAGTCGCTACTTAATCTTTTTTCGGGTGGAAATATACCATCAGGAAAAATGGATAAATCAACAACAGACTTATCACGTAATTCTTTATCAGCTGGTACTGGAAGGAAATTTTCGGTAGTTAGTCGTTCATCAAGTATCGATAATCCACAAATACCAGACTTGAATACTTCATTTCAAAATCGGAAAAGACCATGCATGTGGAATTTAGATTTTAGTCCATATAATTCATCATTGATAAGAATTAAGTAAGAAAAAGAATTTTTTTCCATTTCAAATATAAATATTTTTCTTTAAGATGCTTTTGTCGATATTTACCAGTTTATGGTAATGGTCTTAGTCCTGATACAAGAATAAAAGAAATTAATTATTCATGTTTTTGGTAATTATGTTTCGACAACATGTCTTTCGACAAAAAACATAGGATTCATGTTTTTAAATGATTTTACTCGAGTTATGTTTGTTTTTCTTTTTTACTGTTTTTTCTTTGTTCGTTCATATTCATATATATATATATATATTGATATATTTTTTGTTTTCTTTAAAATTGACAAACACATTTTCATTGATATTAAAAATTCTATATAAGAAAAACATCGACCAGTACATATATATATAAAGTCATATTTTCCTATATGAAATTCAATAAATGATCTTTCGTGGATGAAATAATCTTATCACTAATAATTTATATCAATCTTTGTGAAATATATTTACTATTTTTCTTTCATTCATTCTATTATATGAGCCGGAAAATTATATGTAACCATTGAACTGTAATAATTAAATTATATTCTAACAATTAATGATAATAATACACCACATGCAGTTAGAATTACTCTACGTTGAGAACTTTTCTTTAGATATGTATAAAAGAATTTATCTTATTACAATTGAATTGATGTTAAAAGTGCACATGAATGAGAATGGCTGATTACTAATCCAAGAGCAAAATTTAACTACATGCAATCAGAATTAGTGGATTATATTTTCACTTTTATATAAAGCTCATTATTATATTGAGTAAATTGTCAATTACCCTAGTGTCTAATGTAGAATTGTCTCGAATTTATTATTAACTAAATGAAAATTTTTATTTTTTGTATATTCATTTTTAATTGAAACGCTAATACCAATCGAGCGGAGAAGACTTTTCCTGGCCTTATTTTTTTCTTTAATTATATCAATGAAAAGTAAGTTATTATCTGTGCTCAGCATGAACTTCCCGATTCTACTAAAAATTGAATACTAATAAATCTATGACAATATTTTCGTTATTCAACAATCTAAGAAATACTCTTGAAACGAATCAAGCAAATCTAATTTTTATAATCTATAAAAATATATGATAAGAAAGAGTATTTAGCACTCTCTATAATATAATAATACATTGAACATGTGGCGCGCCGTTTTGTCACACACACATACTACATCCATAATATGAACGAGATCATATCATTTGCCTGTTCTGTGCTATGTAACAAAAATGTCGTACTTTATTTTGATTGGTAGTAATAGAAAAAAGTCAGACGGACTAAAAGAAATTATATATATTTATATAAAATAAATCAAACTGATCTCTTTTTCTTCTTCTTTTTTTTTTTAATCTTTTGCATCAAATATGAGTACAACAACAACAAATATCGTTTGGTTACAAAATAATCAAGATGAACCTATACCAATTGAATTACGTACATATATTGCTTTATTTACAAATGAAGATGCTTGTTATCAATTTATATCATCTTTACCACCGACATTACGTGGTTTAACACTTGTTGTGACTGATTCAACAATATCAATGGATCGTTTAACTAAATTAAAACAAATTTCATGTATTTATATGTTATCATCAACAAAACCACAAATAAAAAATTCATCAAAATTTCATGGAATATTTCATGATCGACAATCATTAATAAATCAAATTGTTGCCGATTTAAATCGAACAAAATCATTACCACCAGGTTTTTTCACTGGTATTATGGCACCATTTCAAGGATTTTATTTTATTTTAACACATCCATCAGTATGGACACGTGCACTTATACCAGCAATTATATTTACTATTCTTCTTTTAATATTTTCTATACCTGGATTATGGGGAATGTATGTATTTACAGATCATTTAAAACAACAGCATACATCAAGATGGATATATTTGGGTATATGGCTATTACGTATCGTACTTTATATCGTTGCAATATTTCTTTCCTTAATTCTTGCATTAATAACAGCTCAACCATTGAGCGCGCCAGCACTTGAAAGTCTTGTTCGTGCACAAGAACGTGAATTAAAATATCCAAATCGACCTGAAGAAGGTTTTTGTTCGAGTGTATGGAGAAGCATTCGTGTAGCTGTTATATCAATTTTATTTTCAATTTGTATATTTATTGTATTAACATTAGCAGAATTTTTTTTTCCACCAGCAATTATTATAACTATGCCATTAAAATTTCTTGTGACTGGTTTTATACTCGCATATGATATTATTGATTATCCATTGTCTCTACATTTATTTGGTGTACGAGAACGTACACCATGGTTTAGACATTATATATGGGCAACACTTGGTTTTGGTTTGTCTATGGAAATTATTTTTCTTATACCAGGAGCTTTTCTACTTTTATTACCAGCTGGTGTTTGTGGTGCAACAATTCTTGTTATTGCAGCTGAACGAGCACAAATCGATCAACCATTATTACTTATAGAAATACCTACATAAATTTTGAATAAAAAATGTATGTGTCTTTTTTATTTTGCCAGATAATAGATATATGTATCTTAAAAGAAAAAATAATTTGTTTTTTCTTTTTCTTTGTATAACAAATGTTTACAATCAAAATAAATATTCCTAGAATAATAATAAATGCAATTAAAGAGAATAAATAAAAAAAAGAAAAAGAACTGTCAAACATAAAATCTCTATGGAATCAAAATGGAAAACAAGATATAGTGTTGATTTTTACAAGTTTGATAGTTACTATGTCTTCTGATGAAAAGAAGATATTAATTGGAATCGATCATCTGATGTGTTAAAAATAAAACATATCTACAGATCATGACAGACAGAAGCGTCTTCAGGGAAATAATATATGAATTTATTTTTAGCAATTATAGTCTAGATAATATAGACATATGATATTGTCTTATTGGTTATTTTATCCCTCGAAAGAACTAAAAAAAGCAATGCTTAGATGTAGTTCATATCAAATAATAGTTGTTAATGTTCACCTCATCTATGATGTCAAGAGTAGCATGTTTTCGATTCATTACTTGATATGTAAAGTATAAAAATTAAAAGCAAGCATAATTCAATTTTTGACTGAGAACAAAAAACACACCGCATCTCGATTTTAATAGAAAGTTCTAATTTTATTCAAATAAAAACTCATTCATTACAAAGTACCATAGACATATATCATTCAATAAAAGAACTTTTTATCTCTATTGACATGCTTTTTAGTTTGTAATTATATTTACATACATATATTTCATGTTAATAGAAGAAATGATATTTAATTTTTTTTATTAAAAATAGTATTTATACTTTATTGAATGAATGAATGATAAACTTCCTAAGCACATTGTATATCCTTCTTATCGAAATTTATTATCATAAACTCTAGACTCATCAACTTGATAATTGACATTAAGTAAGCTGATTTAAAGTAATAAACATAATGAAAGATTTTATATTCCATTATAAACTTAATCTAGAAAATATCAATTATTACTAAAAATTCTCGATGAATTTATAGATTCTATCGATAGATGGTAAACATTGATTGTAACAATCTTAAAAGCTTTTTTATGAGTGAAGTAGGAAAGTAAGTATATATAATCGAACAAATAAATGTGTGCATTTAATTTGAATAAATATATTTAGACTTATACGTGCCTAACTTACAAAATTATGTGAGATATTAAAATCAACTTCATTGAACTATATATTAACGACATCTATTTTCGAATATTCTTCCAGTAAGAAACTTGGAATGATAACGTTTTTCGAATTTCCCAATTCTTTCAGTTCATACATATGTAAGATATGAAATAATTCATCTAGTATTAGAGGTTTTTTTCCTATCCGATCATACGAATTAACTAGCGCTACAATCGATGTTATTAAGAATCGAACATAACGCCAATCGATTCATTTCTTCTAGCCACATCAACGTTAATACTCATCTTTAGTATATATATATATAGAGAGAGAGAGAGAGAGTAAGAGAGTTTTGAATGATATGTGAGTATAGTGACAGTGACCTATTGATGATATAGAAAGAGAAATCATTGGAGAGTGTAATAAATTTTCTTCTCTTCTTATTTTTCTCTCTCTCTGTGTTCTGATTAAGAAAATACTGTATCTCAATTTCATCGTTAACCAAGGGCACCTTTTATTTTTTTCTCTCTCTGTTCTCTCTCTCAATAACATAATAACAACACAACGTTAATTTGTTTCTATTTACGTTTTTAGAAAAATCTGCGTCATTTGAATAAAATTTATTTTATCTTTCTTTTAAGTTGATTTAAAGAAAAATAAACAAATATGGCTACGCGATCTTCATCATCGTCACGAACTCGAAATACTTCAGCAACAAGTTCTAGTGGTTTAAATCTGTCCCGTGCTCAAGAAAAAGAACAATTAGAAACACTTAATAATCGTTTGGCTGTTTATATTGATACTGTACGACGTTTAGAACACGATAATAGAGAATTAAAAGTATAAACTTTTGAATTTGTTTTTTCTAGAAAAAAATAAAATTTTTTGACTTTATTTAGAGTGTTATTGAATCATATACTGATACATATGAAGTTGAAACATCGAAAGTTAAATTATTATATGAACGTGAACTTGAAGATGCAAAAAAATTAATTGAAGAACTTGCAAGAGATAAAACACGTTTAGAAATTGGAGCTGAGAAAGCTGATGCTGAAGCACAAGATGCATTAGCTAGGTAAGTTAAAAGATATTGAGAATTTTATTTATAAATTATTATTATTATACTTTTAGACTTGCTCGTAAAGAACGTGATCTACGTTCTGCTGAAGGTCGACTTAAACAATATGAAACCGAAATTGCTGAATTAAAAGCACGTAATGAAGCACTTGTCTATGATAATAATCGAAAAACAGATGATAATGCAGTAAGTATGAACTTCCGATGATTATTTTCATAAACTTTACATAGAAAAATATATCGGAGATTAGTACTATTTATTTTGTTTGATCTAAAAAAAGACCTTTATGGAATACTAATGAAGTGATTAATATATGAGGATCAAAGTGTAGTAGATGAATATAATCAGTTAAACATTCATATACAATGAGAGTGTTATTCGTTTGCATTGCAGACTATACTTCGTATCATATATCTTAAGTAGATCTTTCAACAGAATGATGTTAATTCACATCGCTCATCGTATATCTTAACAATAATATGAAGACAATTTTTTTCTTCTTTTGTACGTCTTCACTCATTCAATCTTCTGATTTCGTGAACAAACAACTTTGTTTGACTAAATTTATTGATTTCTTTTGTTTATAGAATCTACGTGGTCATAATGGTGATCTTGAAAAGCAAGTAAATGCATTGAAACGTCAACTTGAATCTGAAACTCTTCTTCGTATTGATCTTGAAAATAAAAATAAAACATTACGTGAAGAATTACAATTCAATCAAGAAGTCCATGACACAGTAATTAAATCATAGAGTTTTTTTGTTGTTGTTTATTTTATTTTTATTTTAGGCTATTGATGAAATTCGCCGACACAAACGTGTAGAAGTAAGATCATTTGACGATGGATTACGTCAACAATATGATGATCGTTTATTACACGAATTACAACAATTACGTACGCAAACTGATCAAGAAATGCAAGCATTACGCGATGATATAGCTTCACAATATGAAAAAAAAATTGAAAACTTAGAAAATTCAATTCGTCGAAATGCTGATCAAGTTGGTTCATATAGAACTGATGTATCATCCTATCGTGAACGTATTGAAGATATAACAAAATCTCGTAATGCTTTAAATGATAAAGTATCATTTCTCGAACAACGTTGTCGTGATTTGGAAGATCGTCTTCATCGTTCACAACAACGACAAGATGAAGTATTAGCTGAACGTGAAGATGAATTACAACGTTTAAAATTACAAATTGAACAAATGCAAATTGATTATCAAAATTTACTTGATATTAAAATTGGTCTCGATCGAGAAATTGCAACATATAGAAAATTACTTGAGTCCGAAGAAGAACGGTAAATAAAATAAAATACATTTAATTTTGAAATCTTCTTTTCTTTTTTTAGACTTCATATATCTGGTAATTCATCTCGTATTAGCAGTAGTGGTAGTGATATTTTATATTCAGATATTGCTAGTACAACAGCAACATCGACTCGTGCATTTGATAATCGTTCACATGCATCACGTAAACGTCCTCGTTATGATTCCGTTGAACGCCCATCAGTAAATACACAATTACTTGATGGTATTAATATAATTGATGATGAAAGTTCACATCCAAAATTTGTTCAATTAATCAATAATTCAGCTCGCGAAATGGCTATAAGTGGTTGGGTACTTAAACGTAAAGTTGGTTCACAATCATATGAATATAAATTTCCAAGAGGAATGGTTTTAAAAGCTGGTGCAACAACAACAGTAAGAGAAATTTATATTTCTATTGATTCACAAATGAAATTTTATTATAGATCTGGAGTTCGGATGTCAATGATATCTCTGTTGATCCACCAACGAATTTAAAATTACGTACAAATAAATGGTTTACAACTACGAATGAAAGTAAAAAGACAATTTTAGAAGATACAGATGGACACGTAAGTTAATTACTTGTTTTTACTCTTCTGTTTAATAAAACTAATTATTTATTTAGGTCGTTACGGAAAAGACAGTTACCGTCAAATAAAAGGTTGATAATTTTAATGTATTTTTTTTCCTTGTTGGTTTATGTGTAAAAAATATTGCTTATGTAGTAGTCTTTTTGATAAAAGTTTTTTTTTTGTATTTGTTATAGTCTATTCAAGATGTTTTTGTTTTTTTGTGCAAGTGGAAAGAAGATGAAGCAAATAGTATTTTTTTTCCTATGCACACATTTATAATCTTATTTTGGTTTTTCTAATATAAACTCTGTAGTTTAACCGTCCTCTTTCTTTTCATTTTCGCACTGGTTAAGTTTCTGTTTTGTCTCTTTTATATTCGAAGCATTTGTTATAGTTGTTTTTTTCTTGTCATGGTCTTTTTCTATCTAGTGAAATTAAACATTGCTCAAAAAAAAAGAATCGAATATTATGATAACCTTGATTTATATGTGTCATTTTATGAAGGCGATGAGAATATCAATCACGAAACGATAATCATTGATGACAGATGATTAGAATATGTCCTCTTCTTCTTGATATATGTATATTTGATAAAAAAAAAAGAAAAACGAATATAGATCTATGATTTTCCACCCATACACGTGGAGCATCCCAAATTGTTAATTATATATTATATATCTTTTCTTTGTTCATATAAATTTTGATTTTAACAATTTTTTTTTCTCCTATCAAATTGATGATGAAAAAAGATAATGAATGAATGAATGTATGAAGATGCATGTTTGTATGAAAAATAAAATTACTACAGTTAAATGGTCGCTTTGAATACATATGATTGATTATAGTTTAATGAAAAAAAAATGTTCAAGGAGTGCGACACAACATTGTCAAAAACAATATTTTGATGATCAAAGGGTATGCGCGTATAGACGATGATCATAATAACAATTAATGATTGACGTTGGTTGAAAGAAAAACTATGATGATAGGATAAGGTTACTGAAGGAAAAATTAATAATTCTGTCGAGACAGACACATAATTAATGGGGAAATATAGATTGCTATCTTACTATGAATTACCACCGACTCATTCCAATATTGTTTATACTTAGATTACTGTAGTGATGATCGTTCTATGACGTGTTATTGCATTTTTATGCAAATATCTAGAACATTTATAAACTGATTGTTAACCATTTTTGTGGAACGAACAAGCATGTCAATTGTATCAGTTTGTTAACATATTTCGTGTGTCAATTATGAATATTGGCAATATGTTATCATATAAAATTAGATTTATCTACAAAAATATAGAAATCAATGACGTGATTAATATGAAACTTGATATAATGTGTGAAGAGCAATAAACACATAATGATCCAAAAACGAATCATAGATATATAAATGCTAGGCAGATTTCTCTATATTCGAAAACAATGAATAAATAAAGGTGAGTGTGAATGAATAAAGACAAAAGGATGATTACGACTATATCTAATTATATCCTAAGAATATTCTTTTTTTTATATTTAGTGTATAGGATTGATTCTTCGATACATAATAATGCGATGTGTTTAGTCACATTTTGTATATTCAGTTTGATTAGCGGAAGGGTCGTTGTCCATTCCTGTTTATATTGGTAACAAGTTGTTTGAGCATATAATCCAATAGGACACTTTGTGCAATGTATAACCCTTAAGTGAATTGTATAATAACCTTTTGAACGTATTTGACATTTGATCTGTTCATAGAGATCTCTATAAGAATCTGAAGGACATAGGTGAGGTAATTGACTTAGATAAAAATAAAAATTTCTCGGTGACTATCGAATATCGTTAAAAGCACCAGGTCATGTACTATACGTTCATGAAACTGAAGTAATTTCTAATTTATGAAAAATAACGAAAACAATTGAAAGTATTATTATGACATATTTTCCTTCGAACAACATGTCATTGTTACTTGGAAATAAATATTTATTCTCATTCATTTTAATTAATGTGTAGTATACTCGACAAATACTATTAAATATTAACTAATAATAAAAGAATGGTAAATATACATGTAAAACAATTCTATAAAAAGACTTAACATACAAAAAACCAATCGCTCATTATTATTAAATATAAATTATCCATTATTCTGTTTCTGTAGAATCCAATAAGTTCAACTGATATCTACATTTAATCCAAGTTAAAATATCGGTTATTCCATTATCAGTTGTGCTTCTATTTTTCATCCTAGCAATTGTATTATTAAATGTTTTAAGAGACTTTAACGATGACCTTTGTAAATCTCATACAGTTACTCTAGACATTATCCATCATTATTAATGTATTTAATAGTTCAAAAGATATGCATTCTCAAATTGAAAGCTATATATCGTCTTCCTTAAAGTACCATTTTCAGCGGCAACAGCCACAGTGGTTTGTCGATCAACATGGTATATAGCAAGATCATGGTTTACACCATTGACATCTTAGTGCGGCTGTCAAGATGGTATAAATATCATGCAAACATATCCCGATATGATCGAAGATTTTCAATGTACAAGTGATGCAATGCGTCTTTTAGAATCTAAGAACTTGTTCAATATCGAATAAATTTCATTCATAAAACATATTATAATTAGTGAAATGAATTGACAATATATTAGAAGAATTTATTAGAGTAATCATTTAATATAATCATATTCTTATGAGAATCAACAACTAAGAATCTATTATATTCTTATCCGCTTGATAATCTAGAGTGGGTGTGAGCTGTCAATGTGGATATTGTATCTTTTTTCATCGCGTCGACGCCCACATTCACCCTTACACACTTATGAAGGATAGTTTTCTAAGAATTACCATAACAGTATCGAAACACAAAAATTCATAATAAGACATATTGCGGAAGAATATGAATTTCAAATTTTTATTACTCAGTCCACCATCATTTGTTTTCCATTACATAGAGTTTATTTCATTTATAAACTAATCACAGCTTTATTCATTAAAAATGATGGAACTAAAACTAATAATATTATTATTTGATATATTATTGTTTTATATATTATTGTTTTATTTATTAATGTAATAATAATAATTCTATTGTTGTTAGGTAATATATTAGAGAGGAAAGAAAACTTTCCTTCTTCGATCGAAATAATTTACATACAAAATAAAACAATTAGGCTCATAAATTTTATTATCCTTTTCTCTTTTTGGACTATAAATGCTTGCATTTTATGTATCTAAATATACAATAATAATTAGAAATGGGATGTTTAATAAATAACTATTCATTTGAAAGACTTAGTTTGTATAAATAATACATAATAATTGAAAAAAGTTATTTTTAAATCATGATTACTAATCCAAGTATTTATCTAAGAAACTAATACTTTTTCTTATCTTTTGTATATTATATTTCGATACTTATATAGAATATATATAATGACAATCGTAAATATAGATTGTTTTATACGATTATTATAAAATTGATAAAAACAAAAATTTCGTATTTCAAGTGTTTTCTTCATAATACAACAATAAACTGAAGTATGAGATACTATTAAATTCAAAGATAGTTTACTGAGTGGAGAAAATTCTATATTAAATGAAAATTTATTTTAAATATAAATATTTATTACATAAAGGTTTGATAACATCAGTGGCGGATCTAGGATTTTGAAAGGGGGGGGGGCGATTTTGGCTAAAAGCTATTTTTTGAGTCTAATCGAAGTAGTGTGAACCTATTTTTGCTGTGAAAAATCAAAAAAAATTCGGAAGGGGGGAGCGATGGGGTGATCGCCCCCCTAAATCCACCACTGGATGACATGTTAATAAAATCAAAAATGATGGATCTGTTTATTATATTTATATGAAGAGTTTCATTTTATATCGCATATATTCAACAGCATATTTTTTAAATCTAAATATACACTGTCAGATGTTAGAAAATTCTATATCGGATATTTTTATACTTGAAAAACAAATATATTCATCAACTCTGTGACATTTTTTCTTTTTATAAAAACTAATATTATGAATATAATGCCTAGAAACTGAAATTACTTTCGCACTGTGTGATATCCAATACCTTCTATTTAAAAATGAATACGGCCTTTTTTGTTGTTGTTGTCAATCGTATAACAAAGGTGTCGTTTACAGACCTTGTGCTTCTACCTATTCAATTCATAATATTCTATACATGCCTCACAAACACAATAATATTTGTTTAGAGCAAATAAATGACGTTTGGTACGTGGTAAGCTGCTTATTCATTTCATCAGTAACTTTGTCGTCATATATCATATATATAGAAAAAAAAATAATGATTGGTGCAAAAACCAAAATGACTAAATAAAAGGAAAAAAAAAGTCGATTCCTTTCAGGTGTATATATATATACACAAGTGAAGGTAAAGCATGTCATATATTCAGTAAAAATATATACAATGCCGAACGGTACACTTGAAGTTATTGTTGCTGCAGGTCGTCGTCTTAAAGACGAAGATACAATTGGTAAAAACGATGCATTCGTTGAAGTCTATTTAGATAAAAAGTATAAACAACGTACAACAACTATTTCAAATACGAACGATCCAGTTTGGAATGAACGATTTAGTTTTAATATTCATGGTGAAGATTCAATTCATTTCGATGTTTATGATGCTGATATTGGTGATACTGATTCAATTGGTAAATGTAAAATAAAACTAAAACATGTTTTTGATGATGGTAAATATGATGAATGGGTTAAATTACCATCAATGTTCGGTTTATCATCTCATGGTGAAATTCATGTTATTATGAATTTTCGAGTAAGTCATATTTAAACAAAATAATTATTCATATTATTTTCTTTTCATTACATTTTAGCCATCATAATCAATACAACTGACGAAACATTATATAGACAAAAACAATTCCTATCTAATTCTATTCTTATCTACATGTATTTAGTTTTTCAAACAAGTCTCTCTAATAATAATATAAAGGAAATCATGACATAAAATATTTAAACTCTTCGATATCTTCATGCTAGTCTAACGAATTACTTTGTTAGAATGACAATATTCATTGTTCAAATAGTTTTAATGCAAAGCATATTGACGAGCTGTTCATGCTGCAAACAAATTGTTGTTTTAGTAAATATGAGTATTGTAATACTATACAAAACTTCGTGCTAGAATTAAAAGAACAAATTTATTCAGTTAATTTGAAAAAATAAAACAATTAAATCAATAATGAAATTATAAAAGAAAAATTTGAGCTCACACACTATCAACTTTAATCCGATTGATAATTCACGTTATACAAATTGACAATACAAAGTTTATTAAATGTTCTCTTAAAATCCATGAAAGAATTTTTCTCTTGAATGACACATTCTTTTCATATTCAGCCTGCACCAGTTAATTGACTGAAATATAATACTTTTGAAAACAAATACACGTTTTGTGACGATTAATTTCAACATATAATTATATTTTCTGTTAATGCGTAAGGGAGATCAGCGATAAAGAGAAATTAAATGGTATTTTTGATATAATCAATCCTATTTACGATTTTATAAATCAACACAGCACACAAATCAGAATCCATAAAAGTCATATTTATAAAAAGGTGTCATTTAAGTGGTCAGTAGAATTATTGAGTAGTCAGTAAAGTAATGATTGATCAGCGAATTATTGAAATGGTCAGTAATTAATTTGATAAGTTCATAATAAAATTTAAACGATCAGTAAATAAAATGGAATGGAAAGTAAAATAAATGTGGGAACTTCGGATTTTATCCGAGAGTTATGTGTACTGCAAAAAGTGTATATGGGAATCTAGGGATATATCAGTATTTTTGTAATAACTCGAGAATGGCTCGGCCAATTAGGCTCATCTTCGAACTCAACGAGATCTTGATGAGACTGAATTGTGTAGAAAATTTCATAAATATCGGCTTAGCCTTTCGAAAGGTATTGGATAAATGGACGGACGGCCGGCTACACTGACCGATTCTAGAGTGTACTCACTTTTTGAGTACACAAAAATATAAATTTGTGCAAAGATGGTCTACTTTTCTTTTTCTCACTGCTACTTCCACAAAATCTACTGACCATTTTTGAATTGTTTACTGATTTTTTTGAAAACTGATCAATTAATATATTTACTGATATTTCATTTATTTTACTGGCAGCAAAACATATTCCGTTTATAATATATAGCTGACAATAAGCATAATTAGATGGTGAAAATTCGTATATATCATTTATTTTAATCTCGTTTATGCCTACATAGTTTATTTTCTATTTAATAATTTTTATTTTCTTTTTTTAAAAGTAATAAAATAAAAATTATGATTTCATCTTTATTAAGTCAAAATTGCTTTGATATTGTTTAAGATATGGATTCGTTGGTGATAATGAACGTTTTGCAATCTCTATTGCACGTTTACAAAATGGAGTTGCATTCGAATATTTTTGCATATTAATATAAGCCATACCAATATTATTGTTCGACATAGCTAGATCAGGATGATTAGGAGAAAGAGTTTTTTGTCGAATTTCAAGTGCTTTTTCATGAGCTGATAATGCTTCAGGATAATTACCCATGTTATAATATGCTAAACCGATATTATTATATGACATAGCTAAATCAAGATGATCTGCAGGATTCATCTTCTGAGAGATTTCCAATGTTTTTTTATAGTATAAAATTGCATCTTCATACTTTCCTTGATAATCTTTGATCCATCCAAGTTGATGATAAATACCGGATTTTGCATAATCATCTGATGTTTGTTCAAGCATTCCTTTATAAACCTGTTGAGCCTTTTCTAATTGATTCATTCCAATTGAAAACATACTGAATCGTCCCCATCCTATAGATTTTGGACAAGTTTCTTCATATATAGGTTCAATTAAAGTATGTAGTTGTTGATTATCAGTAGGACTCATTGTTAAATGTACTTGCCAAAGACGATTAGTTTCACCGATTGGTTTAATATCACGAACACGAAATACCGAAGACATCGAGAAGAGATATTCATTAGCTGGTTGTTCATCCTGACCGATTTTATTAATTAAAGCAAATGGTGTTGTTAATTTCAAAGGATCAAATGTTATAGCAAATAAAATTCCAATCTGATCAGGCGTTTCCACAACATGACGAGCAAAATTAAGAGCTATATTTGAATCTTTCGTAGCAAATAGAAAATTATTAAATGAAATAAAACCATTTTGCGTATTCTTTATTTGTTCAAAATCGGTCTTACACACGCCTTGACCACGATAAACTTTCATTAATTCTCCAGAATGATTCCGAAATTGTTCTACATATAATTGTTCAATTTGACGATGAATATCACTAATAAAAAAATCCATTTTGATGATCAGTTTCATATCCATTGTTTTTAGAGCACGATTAACCATTGATTTTAAAAAGCAATTATCTGTATACCACCAAATTGGTGTTTTTTCGCGATATGTTTGTTTAAATCGTTTAATATTATTTAATTCTTGTTCATTTTCATGATAGATTTCTTCACAATATTTAATAAATTTTGTAAAATGTTGTTCATCAAATTGTATAGTAGATAAAATTTCTTTTAGAACTTGAGGACATATAAAAGAATAAATCATTTGTTCCATCGTATTCTCTGAAACTTTAGTATTATTTGTCGGCATATAATTCATACTAATTGCATTATGTTCACATTTTTGTACTGATTGTTTAAGATATTCACAAATTGGTACTGTATTACTAAAAATTCCTTTAATTTTTTTCCAATTTTGCGCCCATTTTTTATACGGTTTCCGATCGTCACAATAGATATATATAGAATCTATATGCAATCGATCATGAATTTCTGGAACAAGTCGTTGACATAATGGACCGGAAACAATTACACAAACTTTTTCATTTTCAATTTTCTTCAGAAAATTAAGACATTCATCATATTCGGTAAATGTTTTGATACTGTTAATTACATGCCGAAATTCTGTAATAGCACTGCGACAAAAATCGTTTTGGTTTTCATCAATATTTTGATCCAACCAGACAAGACGCACATTTTCCGCCACAGGAATATTAGTGTGTTGATGTTTATTGGTACCTTTTGAAGACTTTGAGCTACGTTTACTTTTCTCTTTATTAATAACACTACTCATAGATGATGTTGACTTCTGCTTAATCATAATAAATATTAAATAACACAGACAATTTTGATTATATGTGTTGTGAATGTGAAAACGATTGAAAATATTATATTAAAATATGAAAAAATAGATTTGTTATCTATTTTATCTGTCGATGTCTAAAATAATATGTTTCACTTGTTTGACAGTGTTTAAATTGTTAGTCAGAACCAATGATTTTGCTACAAAATATTTTTTTTTTACTTTTCTTTATTCTATAATTTGAGGTAACGCTTCGTCAACCAAGCGGTTTTCATCATACAATGCGCATACAAAAAAAAACAAATATGTATAGACTACAATCCTATATGACATGTATTTTTCTTTTTCCTCTTTTCTTTACATTGATGGATAGATGGACAAATACACATCAAAATTTGATGACACTTTTTTGCCTCTTATCTCAATTATTAATCATGAATAAAAAGAATAGAATGTGTTTTTTTTATAATATACCGAATCAAAAAGAAACTTCTGGTCAGATAAAAATAAAATAATTATTTTCAGATTTTATGTATTGGAAAAAATAAAACGAAGAAAGGTGAAAACGCCCATACATTTTCAGCTATTTTCGAGTAGTTCGGATTATTTGTTTCATGCGAGCAAATGGAATCATAAATTTACTTTTTGTTGTTTTTAGAAATAATTCAACACTTAATTGAGACATCATAAAGATATTATTTTTTCATTATGGTCGAAATAAAATGAATTTTATTGCAAGAAAATCGTAACATGTCATGTGTAATAAATTATTTGCGTTTTATAGATTCGAAAAAAAACGATAATATACTTTTCTTTTTATATTCATGTAGAATATTCGAGAAAGACATAAAATAAATAATAATATGTAAAATTATGTGGCAGCACATTACTATATAATTGCTTCTATTGTTATAATAAGATAAGTCTAGAATCATCTTAAATGTTAAACTAAATATAATTAATATTTAAATGATGTGATTCAGACGTTGATAATAATCAGATGTTCTTTTCAACCTATATCTTAGTCATCAATATTCACTTCATAGTTATCACGACATTTGGATCTAAAATACTTCCAATAGTTGTTTTTTTTATACCACTTGTAAAACCATATGTTTGTGAATTATATCTTGAATGTTTTGACTACTATCTAAGCAACAATACACATACATGTTTATTATATGAACCAGAATGAATATAATATGCTATGTTGAAATAAGATGAAATTATATCTCCAGTACTAAATAAAGTAGCAAATCTGTATGCTAATAACTTTTAAATAATCATATTTATTTTATTAAGAAATAACATTGATTTACACGAATACTATTCGTTTGTTATATAATCGATTTAAGTTAGAATTATCTTTAGGTAATGGTATCAAAGAGTTTGTGTCTTGTAAAATAGAAACAATGAAAATAAAATGTATACTTTTACATTGGATTAATCATCGTATTAAGTTTAAAAAACAACAACAAGTAAGTTTATACCATTCCTATGTTATTACCGTCTACCAGTTGAAGGACGAAATATTAATAGTTATGACAATAAAAAAATAACAGAAACTATTAATACATTTGTTTGGTTGTTTTTCAATTTTTTTTTGTTTTGATTTTCATTTTCTAGGTTAGATATACTTTTATACAACTTAATCAATTTATATTACTTATTTTTCTTTATGCTTATGAATGTATAAGCAAGTTTAGTTATCAAAAATAAGTTTTTATATTTGATGAAGAGAAAAATAACTTAATAATTACTAGTTAATATAAGATTTATATACTACGTAACATACATTTATATCACTCTTTTTTCCATTATCGGTATTCGTAATATCAAAAGTGAGATATCAACAAGAACCTCGTAGGCTGAAATATAAACATATGTGTCGATTATTTATTACATAAATCAATTAATTAATAGTAATAAAAAAGAGTAACACTATTACTTTTACTTTTATAATTCCTTTTAAAAATAAAAGATATAATCACATTTGCTATTCGTTTTATATCAGCAGTGGACTATTGGAAAAGCCGACCGAGAAATTGTTTAACTTTGATGAGAAATAAAAACAAACCGAAAACGACATCCATTTAATACCTTATTCAATAACATACGGATATTCCATACAAAAAGAAATCCTTCTTTTTTCAAATTCTATTTCATACTGGAACTTATTCATTTCTCCTTATCAATAAATATATCGATGAACTATTTACTTGTAAATTGTTGCCAGTTTGATTGAAAAAGGATTTCCCTTGACTTTGTGGGAGTAACGGGCTTCTCGTGGTTGAAAAATATGGCCCATCCCTCATTTATCTTTATCAATGATGCTTTACAAAATGTAAAAAGCGAAACAAAATCTCGATTTATCCTTTCGTTGTAGTTTCTAAATGTTGAATGTCTTCATTTATTTTTTTAATTATGGCTAAGAGATTTGATCAGATTATATTTCGTAGCAATTAAAATAATTTATCATAGATGAGATCTATTATTATATATGTTTTAAAATGCTTTCCGTTTCCTATACACGTTCTTATTATAAAGAAAAAATGTATCAAAATAATCGTATTACATCTGATGATCATCAAAAATCAAATAGAAGTTTTCAATCTTTTTTCTTTAGATCAGTATTCAACATATAATTACAATGGAGACTCTTTGTTAACGTTAGCTTGAAAGTAAAAATTTAAATCAAATCAATTTTTTTCTTTTATATATATATTATTAATACAATCTGTATAACGATAAAATTTCTTTCTTTTTGTTCTTGATAGGATGATTTAAAATGTTGATAACCTAGCGCCCTCATTATACTATCTGTCAAACTTTTATAAATAATTGGTTGTTTTTTATAGTCCAATCTAAATTAAACGAAAAGTTTTCCTTAATGTACGTTTACGAAAGAACAGAGCATATCAACGTGTACAAACATGTGTTATACACTGTTACGCTTCAATACTCTTCCCTCTCATATGATATTTTGGCTTACCTAATAATAGTAAAACCTATATATATATATTACATGGGAATTACCTCACTTACTTTTATATTTGTATTATAGATAATATATCGTTTATTTTACTAATTTGTTTTAGCTTTATTTCTTAATATATAATGTTTCCAATATTTACTTCAATGCATCGACAACCTTCAAATGATAGTTATTATTTTTTACGTTATCTTTTTTTACTATACATATGTACAGCATTTTTAATGATAATTAGTGCATTTAGTGATGATTTGAACGATAATGAAGGTTAATAGAATTTTTTTTGTTGAATTTAAATAAATCATATAAATATATTTTTATTAGTATTCCCTCATTTATCAATGAATTCTATCCATACTGATAAATTTTCCTCTCCTTATACAACGGTAAAATGTTTTTTTTATTTATAATTGAAAAAAGTATTTTTATTTTATTTTTTAAAGCATATGGAAGAAAACGATGCTGAAGAAAAAGAACTTCTTATGAATTTATTAAAATCTTATGATGATGTGATAAAAATCAATCAATCAATAGATTATGATAGATCTTTTGAAAGTTCTTCTTCAATATCATCAGTTCGATTTATTCCTCCATATCTAAATTTTTCTCAACAGTAAGTTTTTTATCAATTGAAATATTCAAAAAAACTATCTCTTTTCTACACATTAGATCAATCGCTATTCCTCGAATGCAAACTGTGATAATAATTAATCAGGATCCTGAACCACTTGAACTCTATTCATTATCTGAAGCAACAAATCAATTTTATTCAACACTTCCAAAAGGAAATCTTGTTCTATCCCATGGTGAAAATATATCAATAAATATTTATTATCTCCCAAGAACAATCGGTAATATCAAAACTATATTTACAATAAATACAAATCGTGGAAATATTGATTATAATGTAAATAAATATTTTTATTTTCTTTAAATTCAAATTTTGAATTATTTAAAGGTTATTGGTCGAAGTAAAACAAATCCATTTCGTTTACGTCCATTAATTAATATAGAAATTCCATTAAATTCAACATATGAATATACAATACAATTTCATAATCCATATAATTATTCATTAGATATCAATGAAATCTATACAAGTGATGAAAATTTACGAATTGATTTATTATTAAATAAAAATATAAAAAATAAAATAACAAAAGTTTTCGAACATCATGAACAATGGCATTTAAAAGCATATGAAATGAAATCTATTATAAAAATAAATTATTTTGCATATAAACTACATCGTTTACATGGATTTATTTGTATTAAAACAAATTTTACTGAATTAATTATTTTACCAATAGAAATTAATGTTTTAAATTATCCAGGTCTTTATTCAAATGTTGATGTATTAGAATTTTCTACTGAAAAATTTATACGTTCAATAGAAACACCAATATCAATACCACTTTATGTATTCAATAACAATTTAGATCCAGTGATGCTTACTGTAAGATTATATTTTTGAAGGATAAAGAAAAAAAAATATTGTAGACAGTATCAGTACAATTAGTAGAAAAATTTATTTAATCTTGTTGATTCATTAACATTAGGATTTCTAATATACATAGAAGAAATTTTTAACAGAATCTGTTAAATTAAATATTGTCGAGTTGTAATGCTGTTATTGAAGTTAGGATAAATATTGAAAAAAAAGCTATACATCTTATCGTTTTACGAGCAGCCGTCGATCACATTATCATGACATTTTAAGGATGCTTTTGACTTGACATATATCATGATTAATCTATACTATATTAATCGATAAAACCAATCTTAAAAGATTGTTAATCATAGATATAATTGAGCACGAAAAAAAAGTTAAACGAATATGTTTTCACGTTCTTAAAAATAAAAATAGATTTTGAAGGTTATCAAGACTTACTAGATAGAGTCGATGATATAAACGATTTCCTCATACTATCGATCTAGTACGCTCAGTGTTCTATCCAGGTTTCTGTTTTCGGGTGGGCGCCGCCCACCCTCTAGATAAAACATTGAGTACACTGATTCCACTATT